TTTATCACTTGTTCTTCAGTGAGGCACTCAGTGGCTTGTATATCAGCGTTTATGCATAAGACACCTGAAGAAGTCCATAAAGCTACTAATTTTTTTCTCACTTCAAAAGCTTAGTAACATCCGGAAGAATGATTTATTTTGGGGTAATTATACTCTTTGTGCTTCTGTACTACCCCGTTTAATATTCACTTGTTGATCAAATTTAGGCTTCCTGTATGTTTTGAAACCCTGGGTGCCAGAGCCTGTGATTCCAGCAGTTCACTGTGTAGAACTACTTCTTATTTTAAAAGCACATCATGTAAAAGAGATCAAGGAGTGAACCTCTCAAGTTGTGTGTAAATCTGCCTAATTTTGTCCTGTAATGCCCAGTGCCTCATCAGGAGAATTTTAACTTATTTCCTTCTTTTGTACTGTTTAGTATGTCACTTGTACAACAGCTACCCACAGCTCAAAATATAGATCTGTCCACATAAAATCACATCAGTAATAGTGAAGTTCCTAATGCATTTCATGGTTTCAAGGCTGAAAATTTACTTAGAATGGGTTGTTTTGTTAATTTGCTTTGCATAATATTTTCAGGTGTGTCTTTATAGGATTTGGGAAGCACGATTATTTATTTTAACAGTAACGCTGGAAGTACAGTCAACTTACAGCAGGATGAGAGTTTTGGTAGGCAAAAATTAAGATCCAAGCAGCTGTAACATTAATGTGAGGTAAAGAAGGAAAAGACAAGGGGAAATAGAGTAGGATGGATATTGATGGGGAAGGAGATGTTGAAACATACTATAGAAGAAAGGTTAATAGCATCTTGAGCTTGTGTCCTAGTATATACTCTGCACAGAAAATGGAAAAAAAACATTGAACCTGCTAGTTTATGATCAGGCTAGATTAGCAAAACATGTAGATGAGCCTACTTGTTAATTAAAAACTAAGTATATGTTTCTTGCATCTGCTTAGTATAATGTTTATTTTAAAAGGTATGTGTAGCATTTTGCATGGCAGGGGTTTACATCGCTACAAATTGAAGGTAGTATGTTTAGCTGCCACTTCATCTTTTCCCTTGCTCCCAAAAGGAAAAAAAAAAAACCCACCCTGTATTAGTTGAGTTCTGCAACAGTGATTCTCTGCCCTGGATAAATTTAATACATGCACTGTCAGTAAGATGTTTTAATCTTGAGTGATGAACGTGTTGTAGACCACCGAGATAGTCTGTTTGCAATAGACACGATTAAGTTTTTAGTGGGATGGTGACTTCTGTCAGTTGACTTTGAAATAGTGGTGACTCCGATATCTACCCATATGTCATAGGGATCAGTTTGTGCAGTGCTGTATACCTTATCTGCACTTTTCCATCTGTACTTAAGCAGCAGATAGGGTTTTCATTTCTTTTGTTGTGGAGAACTCTTGGATTTTTTCTTATTGGTAAAAATAAATAAAACTCCAGGCTAGACCTGCTCCCCTGTTCGTTTTTTTCTGGATTATGTATAGATTCCTCAGAGGTTCCCAGTTCCCGTGTCAGTTTTTTTCCTTATTCTTCCACATTATTGAAATAAAATAGCTTCTCCTCTTTGGCTTTTCTGGAGAGTTTCTTCCCTTATTCTTTCTGAGGTAGTTTGTTCTAGATTCGTTGTGGAAACTTTAGGTTTCTTGGAGCCTTTGTCATGATGCTCTCCCACAAGTCCCCTTTGAGTTTAGAAACTGCTAGCATCTCTGTGTAGGGCTCTCAGCTTTTCAAAGCCTCTGGTCTCCTGTTTTTTGGCAGAGCAAATAATCTCTCTCTAAAAGGAGATTTCTTCCCATTTTAACTTTGTCTGATGCTTTTTTCCTCTGATGTAACCCACAACCTACATCTGAATATCTCAGAGGAGGCAAACAACTGAGCTAAAAAAAATATCTGAGCATAGATTCCTCTAAATGGTTAGTCTCTGCTTTGCTTTGGTTTCAAAAAATAAAAATCATGATGATTATGAAGCCGGTTTGGGCAGTGCAGAGCCTTTCTGAGCTTGTTTTTTGTTTTATCACAGCTTGAATAGTATGGCTTTAGAGAATTGGTGTATCTGCTTTGCTCAGGTCTTGGACGAGAGCCAAGTGTCTGCCACTTGGTCTGTACGCAACCTAAAATTACTCAAAGTGGACTGATAAAGTGCACGGAATGACTGAGGAGCTGGTGACTGTGATACTGCCACCCATACCTGAATTTATTGTTATTTTGTAGCTTGGGAAGTTTGTTGTATTAGCTGCTGCTTTGGGATTTGCAGGCACTAATTTTAATTCATTTTCATCTTTTTTCAGCCTGAGTGTTTTGATCTGTTGCTCTGGATGTGGTTCTACTTACTGCGCCATCTTTTTGTTGCCTCCGAAAATAGGACAGTCCAAAAATCTTCAGTGAGAACCTAAGTGCTTGCTCACTAAGCAGAGATTCACTGTACATCTGTGCGAATCCAGTTATCTAATTCATAAAAGCCATTAAAGATGGTGTTCTTTGAATCCATAAGGGGTGTTGGTCCTGAATAGCCCAGCATTTACTTGTGTGCTGCAGCACAGAGATTGAGGTCAACCAAAAGTTGAAGCGTTAGTTTTCTGTGTCAGATTGGAGAGGCTTGAACCAACAGGCCTTCAGGAAGAGCTCCTCAGCTGTGAAACGTTTCCTTTTCTTCTTCTTCTTCTTTTTTTTTTTTTTTTTTTTTGTTTTTTTTTAGCTTGGAATTTAACAAATATTACTGTAATTTGCATTCTTCTAGGCTGTGAAGGCTGGTTGAGTGGGTGGTAGGGTAACCACCATTTGGAGGGTTTTTTTGGTTTTTTTTATTTGGACTTTGGATGCAATTTGTATGTTCCAATAAATTCTGTAAATGAGCCCAGATTTCTGGATATGTAATTTATAAATAATCAAAATAAACAAGTGATAACATTGCTGTTTCTGCAGCCGTTTTTCCTCTTATGGTCTGAAAGGCACTTCATGTAAAACTCATCTGTCTTATCTCAATGGTATTATTTCCGTGATCAGTTTTGTATCAGGAGTGATAATGGTGGTACCAGTCTGACCTTGGGGATGCAGTATGGATGTGTACACTTACAGATTTGCTTTTAAAAATGAATGAAATGGGTCCACTTGCAAAAATCTCAGATAGTAGAGACAAAAGATAGGTAAATCCCAAATTAGAAAATACTTCAAATTGACAGGAGAGGAGCAGAGAGGGGAAAGAAAGAAAGAAAGAAAAACCCTAAAACCTTGTGATGGAAGTTTTGTCAACTTGTGGAATGGAACACTCATTAATGATGACAATTTTTTTTCAATCAAGTCTCATTTTATAGAAGTTCTTCTTATCACTATGTTAAATAAATACTTGTTGCCACTGAAAAAAAGTGAAACTAAATTATGTGCTGGAATACCATCAGAGAGAAATACCTTTGTGCATCTGTTAGAGCATCCAGGGACTTCAAGTTTGCAGTGAAGTAACTTATGTCATGGATTTTGTTTTTAACATCTTGTAGTGTGTTGTTAGCAATAAAGTGTAAGTGTGATAACCTCTAGGCATCCACTGAAAAGCCTTTCTTGGAGGCTTGTTTATGGAGTGGATCAGATAATAATTTTATTCTCAGGTCTGTGGATTTTATTTTGCCATAAAATCGTGTCTTGCTGGTATCTGTTGACATAGGATCATAGAATCATAGGTTGGAAAAGACCTCTGAGATCATCGAGTCCAACCATACATCATCTATTTTAAATTTTAAGAGGGTTAAACATCTTCAGAAGGAATTAAAAAAAGTTCTTGTATTATGAGATTGAGGAACACATTTAGTCAGTCAGTGTCAAGAATCCGTGGTAGGAGACAAGAACTTTAGTTTGCACCTCCAAATTGTCAATTCTGTCTCTGTCTAAAAGTGAGGGTAAGCAACTGAGAGCTGCCTTCTAAACGTTCCTTCATACAGAAGAAAACAAAAAAAAGTAGAGTACTAAAGGAATAAGCTTTCTCCACAAAGCTGTCCAAACCTTTAGTCTCCTCCATCCCACAAAAATGACTGTGGTGTAGCTTTTAGCTTTTAGTACTGACAACACAAATGTGTTATCACAATGTGTAACGAAGCGTCCTGTTCTTGTTGAACCATACTGGGTCAGAGTATGAAGAGAGAATCCATGAGGAATTGCAGGTGTGCTGGTCCCTAAGAAAAAAAAGTACTTATACTTTCTTTTAATCTGTGTAATACGAAATACTCTATATTCAGAGACTTGTCAAAGTAATTTTTTTCTGAATTTTCTTAAAGGCAGTCTCTTTCAAAGAAATATTTTTTCAGTGTTCTGTACACCCGGTTGAGTCCTGCAGTAGACGCTTTTGATCACACTGTGCCACTGTTCTTTGGTCTATTTGATCTTTTGCATTGCCTTCATACAGTTTAAACATGTATGTGTCGGTAAATAGTGTGTTATGGTAATCCTAATATATTAGAGGGTTAGCCTTCTTCCTCCACTTGTTTAAAATGATCTTTAAAATAAATAACAATATATCCAGTGTCTTGCATAATTTCTATGGTCAGCACCAATGTCAAATGTTGCACTAAAAACCTGTTTTAAAATAACAGTGTGATTGTATAATTGAAAATGAAGAGGTACTAAAGCTGTTCATGGAGTCTTTATACAGTACAGCATTGTTGTTAATACATGTCAGAATTGTTTTTACTGTGAGTGGGTCTTTCAGTGATCAGGTGTCTATTTGGTGTTTTCAGTTACTGGCCACTGTGCAGTTCTAAGTCTTACTTCGTAGCCATTTGCAAGACTGCACTGAGTACAAAATTAGATAATTTGGTGTTTGGGGGTGCTTGCTGGTGTTTTATGATAGGTTGTTGGGTTGTTTTTTAACTGAAAAAAACAGTACCCTAGGGAGTTTAGTTGATGGTGTAACCCCCTCTTGATAGCTGGAGATGTGAGGCACAGTGGTAAAGATGCATGTGGCCTATACGAGAACTGCTGTGGACTTTCCGGTAGTGAGGTCCAAGAGACTATGTCAGCAAGCTTATTCTCCAGCATGCTGCAGCTCCGGAGCTGCCCAGAACCTCGGAACCTGAGAGGTTTCCCAGCCGCCAGCCTGGACATTGCTCGGCAGCAGAATTTCTGCCTGTGTTGGGAGGTGAGTCTGGGTGGGCAGAGAAGTCTGCTGTTATCTGTGACTGGAGCAGCACCTGCTGCCTGGGGTGGGAAATGGTGAAGGAGGTTTTGCATGGTCCTGGCACGCACATAGTGGAGCCAGTTGTGGACTTACTGACATTTCAAAGACATGTCTTGAAAGCTCTGAGAAGCATCTGCTTTGGATGAGAGAGCTGAGATTCCTCTTGGAGGTTTCTCTGGTCAGTATGTTTTGGGAAGAACAAGTGGCATACCCTTACCCAGGTGACGTTGGCTGCTGACTTGCAATGCTTCTACCAGAGCATGAGGTTGCTAAACTCGTTCAAGTAGAAATAACAATTTTTTAACTTAGGTAAAAAAAAATTTAAAAATCTACTTTCTCTTCTTTCTTCTGTTTTCAGAAATTCTGAGGCCTTGTATCTGGAATCTGTGTAAAGGAAGAAAAAAAAGTTGGGTTAAAGCTCTCCTGTCATAGAATGGTTAATCCCAAATAGCTGAAGTGTATGTCCATTGTGAACAAGTGGACAGAGTCTTAATGTTCCACAGGCCTGACCGGTGTTTCCACAGGTGGCACTACGGTCCCCAGTGAGGACAGGATCTGAAAACGATGCTCACACCTGTGACATGATTCTGTGGGTTTTTTGGGTCACAGAGCTCTTGGACTCCAGAGCGCCCGGTGGATCCATATTTTGGTGGTCTCTGTTCTGCATGGGCAGGATCTTGTGCGACAAGCGACAGCCGGCACTGGGGACCGTGTGTCCCCCTTGGTCGCAGTCGGTCCGGGTGGCTGCCAGGCCGCTCCTGTGACGACGGTGATGGTGAGGCGCCAGCCTGGTGGGTGTTTCCGCTTACTCGTTCCAAGTCCTACATTGCTAATTGACATGCTGAAAACGAAATACTGCTTTCCAAAGTATATTTGGAGGAAATTAAAGACGGGGCACTAACAAATAAAATCCTGGTATGCGTAGCTTTTTCCATGTCTGATTTTTAACCCTTCTGTGAAAGCAGTGATTTAGTATTGCATTCTTTGTGACAAAAATGATTCAAAGAGCCATATTTTTCAGGGCTCTTGATCTGAAGGTTTTGGAGGGTGTCCGACACAGCTTAGGTAACTAACCGGGAAGATAATCCCTGCCGCAAGTCCTTTGTTTCGGTGTTTTCCCCTCAGAAGCTCACCCCCGCGCACCCCCCGGTGCCGGTGGCGGCAAGGCTGGCCCGGTAACGGTGACCGTGTCGGCTCCC